TTTCCACAAGCGCTGTACTCCGCGGAAACCTAGTTCTATTGCACTAGAAGTCAGACTGCAAAGAGTTTCATTTTAGGGAAGTTCCTCAGTTGTCTTCTATTTTCTGTTTTCCCAGAATACCTCTTGTGTCAAGGGATTTCTTCTGGATGGAAGAGCATCGAGTCCTTTAAGAACAGCCTAGAGAAAAGGTGAGAACCTTGCAATATTCTTTGCCTTCTTTTCTCTTGCAGTATACTGATGGTAAATGTTAGAGGGCTATAATTTGGAAGACTGATGATCAGCCCCTAAGACTAGCAAGCTGCAGTCAATGATGAAATAGGCTATACCACAGTTTTCAGTCGGCAGAGACAGCACCTAAGCCTAGCAAGCTGCTGCCGACAAGTAGGCCCAGGAATAATCTTTCTGACATTGCGATGAGTGAAACTGATGGTAAATGTTAAAGGGCTATAAATAGGAAGACTGATGATCAGCCCCTAAGACTAGCAAGCTGCAGTCACTGATGAAATAGGCTGTGTGTAGAGTGGGCAGAAACAGCACCTAAGAGTAGCAAAGCTGCTGCCCACTATAAAACCGCAGTAGATGAAGATTGGTCTGTGATCAGAGGGGAGGGGTGGATGGGAACTACTGTAGCTGACACTATGCAAGTGAAAGATAGGTGGTTATCTTGTCGACGTATTGAATAACATAATATGTATTCTGGCAATGACTGTCGTGGTGAGTATTTCAGACACCGTTGGTTTCATTTCCCTTTGCGAAGTTCAACATTTCTCCTTTTTCCTGTTTGAGCTGGCCATGTAAGTTGGCCCATTGTTGTTTTTGAACTTCGCTGAAATTTGCATGCAAATTTTCTCCACAGCTTGTCGGGTGTTTAAAATGTCGCAAAAGAATAATAGAATTCTCTTAACTTGAGAGGTTTGAAACTATAAAATTTTGAAACGATGACTTAATTGATGCTAAGTGGCAGTGCCAATAATCTAGCCTATGAGTAAACTTGAAGCCAATCTTGTGTTGCTTTGGAATTGACTGCATAAGCCCCTAATCTCAGCAAGCTGCAGTCAATGATGAAATAGAATTGTGCATCTACAGTACAGCAGGCAGAGACAGCACCTAAAGTTTAGAAAGCTGCTGCCTGCAGAACCTGAAGAGGTGAAGATTGTTGGCTTTACTTTGACTGGCGACCTGCTCTGCGTAAAATACAAAGACATTACTACGAGGCTAAAGCAGTTGCAGTTTTCTTGTAGACATTTCAAAGTCCACTCATGGAAGGCTAGGCCATAACCGTTGCCAGAAACACCACCTTGGACTGGTAGTAACCCCATGCCTTTGTATGAATTCTTTTTCCGAGAGCGGATGCTGAGGACTCATGCCCTTCCCCCTACCAGCCGCGGAGGACCCAAAGGGAAGCGTCTCTAACGGACCACAAAGGTTAGTTTTTGTTGCAGTGTCCGAAGAGGAAGTAAAAGATGGGTTGGGTGTGGTGGAATTGGAAAGTTTTCCAAAGACTGAAAATCCCGTGCTAAAATACGATCCCTTCTGTTGTAACTAGAACGGTAGTGACGCACATTCTGACGTCTGTAGATATTCCATTTTCTGGAGCGTACCGGTATCCTACCTACCGTGTGACCTTGTATTTTTCCACAAGCATTGCTCTCCGTTAAAACATAGCTCCTAATTCTGCGGCTGGAGGGAGAGTGCAAGTTAACTTGAGCGAGATGCGGCTAAAGCGTAGAAATCAAGGTGTAAAGACTGCTACAGTAGTTTTCTCCCGCTTTCTGTTTTCTCAGAGTACATGGTGTTTCAAGAGATGTATTCCGGAACATCCTCGAGTCATGCAGGACCAGCCAAGAGAAAAGGTGAGAATGGCTAGGTTATTTGTCTTCTTTGCTTTTCAAGTACGTTGATGTGAGTGGAGAGTATTATTATGCGTGGGAAAAACTACAGTTTTCTGTGAGAAATTACGGCAACGCATGTTCTGAAATGTTTCCATATTTCGGTTTCTTTAACTTGGCGCTCCTACGGAGGGATCCGTTTCTTGAGAGCGCCCTACCTTCCTCATGACCTCGTATTTTTCCACAAGCGCTGTACTCCGCGGAAACCTAGTTCTATTGCGAAACGGAAATTGCCCGAGTAGCGGGGAAAGACTAGAAGTCAGACTGCAAAGAGTTTCATTTTAGGGAAGTTCCTCAGTTGTCTTCTATTTCTGTTTTCCCAGAATACCTCTTGTGTCAAGGGATTTCTTCTGGATGGAAGAGCATCGAGTCCTTTAAGAACAGCCTAGAGAAAAGGTGAGAACCTTGCAATATTCTTTGCCTTCTTTTCTCTTGCAGTATACTGATGGTAAATGTTAGAGGGCTATAATTTGGAAGACTGATGATCAGCCCCTAAGACTAGCAAGCTGCAGTCAATGATGAAATAGGCTATACCACAGTTTTCAGTCGGCAGAGACAGCACCTAAGCCTAGCAAGCTGCTGCCGACAAGTAGGCCCAGGAATAATCTTTCTGACATTGCGATGAGTGAAACTGATGGTAAATGTTAAAGGGCTATAAATAGGAAGACTGATGATCAGCCCCTAAGACTAGCAAGCTGCAGTCACTGATGAAATAGGCTGTGTGTAGAGTGGGCAGAAACAGCACCTAAGAGTAGCAAAGCTGCTGCCCACTATAAAACCGCAGTAGATGAAGATTGGTCTGTGATCAGAGGGGAGGGGTGGATGGGAACTACTGTAGCTGACACTATGCAAGTGAAAGATAGGTGGTTATCTTGTCGACGTATTGAATAACATAATATGTATTCTGGCAATGACTGTCGTGGTGAGTATTTCAGACACCGTTGGTTTCATTTCCCTTTGCGAAGTTCAACATTTCTCCTTTTTCCTGTTTGAGCTGGCCATGTAAGTTGGCCCATTGTTGTTTTTGAACTTCGCTGAAATTTGCATGCAAATTTTCTCCACAGCTTGTCGGGTGTTTAAAATGTCGCAAAAGAATAATAGAATTCTCTTAACTTGAGAGGTTTGAAACTATAAAATTTTGAAACGATGACTTAATTGATGCTAAGTGGCAGTGCCAATAATCTAGCCTATGAGTAAACTTGAAGCCAATCTTGTGTTGCTTTGGAATTGACTGCATAAGCCCCTAATCTCAGCAAGCTGCAGTCAATGATGAAATAGAATTGTGCATCTACAGTACAGCAGGCAGAGACAGCACCTAAAGTTTAGAAAGCTGCTGCCTGCAGAACCTGAAGAGGTGAAGATTGTTGGCTTTACTTTGACTGGCGACCTGCTCTGCGTAAAATACAAAGACATTACTACGAGGCTAAAGCAGTTGCAGTTTTCTTGTAGACATTTCAAAGTCCACTCATGGAAGGCTAGGCCATAACCGTTGCCAGAAACACCACCTTGGACTGGTAGTAACCCCATGCCTTTGTATGAATTCTTTTTCCGAGAGCGGATGCTGAGGACTCATGCCCTTCCCCCTACCAGCCGCGGAGGACCCAAAGGGAAGCGTCTCTAACGGACCACAAAGGTTAGTTTTTGTTGCAGTGTCCGAAGAGGAAGTAAAAGATGGGTTGGGTGTGGTGGAATTGGAAAGTTTTCCAAAGACTGAAAATCCCGTGCTAAAATACGATCCCTTCTGTTGTAACTAGAACGGTAGTGACGCACATTCTGACGTCTGTAGATATTCCATTTTCTGGAGCGTACCGGTATCCTACCTACCGTGTGACCTTGTATTTTTCCACAAGCATTGCTCTCCGTTAAAACATAGCTCCTAATTCTGCGGCTGGAGGGAGAGTGCAAGTTAACTTGAGCGAGATGCGGCTAAAGCGTAGAAATCAAGGTGTAAAGACTGCTACAGTAGTTTTCTCCCGCTTTCTGTTTTCTCAGAGTACATGGTGTTTCAAGAGATGTATTCCGGAACATCCTCGAGTCATGCAGGACCAGCCAAGAGAAAAGGTGAGAATGGCTAGGTTATTTGTCTTCTTTGCTTTTCAAGTACGTTGATGTGAGTGGAGAGTATTATTATGCGTGGGAAAAACTACAGTTTTCTGTGAGAAATTACGGCAACGCATGTTCTGAAATGTTTCCATATTTCGGTTTCTTTAACTTGGCGCTCCTACGGAGGGATCCGTTTCTTGAGAGCGCCCTACCTTCCTCATGACCTCGTATTTTTCCACAAGCGCTGTACTCCGCGGAAACCTAGTTCTATTGCGAAACGGAAATTGCCCGAGTAGCGGGGAAAGACTAGAAGTCAGACTGCAAAGAGTTTCATTTTAGGGAAGTTCCTCAGTTGTCTTCTATTTTCTGTTTTCCCAGAATACCTCTTGTGTCAAGGGATTTCTTCTGGATGGAAGAGCATCGAGTCCTTTAAGAACAGCCTAGAGAAAAGGTGAGAACCTTGCAATATTCTTTGCCTTCTTTTCTCTTGCAGTATACTGATGGTAAATGTTAGAGGGCTATAATTTGGAAGACTGATGATCAGCCCCTAAGACTAGCAAGCTGCAGTCAATGATGAAATAGGCTATACCACAGTTTTCAGTCGGCAGAGACAGCACCTAAGCCTAGCAAGCTGCTGCCGACAAGTAGGCCCAGGAATAATCTTTCTGACATTGCGATGAGTGAAACTGATGGTAAATGTTAAAGGGCTATAAATAGGAAGACTGATGATCAGCCCCTAAGACTAGCAAGCTGCAGTCACTGATGAAATAGGCTGTGTGTAGAGTGGGCAGAAACAGCACCTAAGAGTAGCAAAGCTGCTGCCCACTATAAAACCGCAGTAGATGAAGATTGGTCTGTGATCAGAGGGGAGGGGTGGATGGGAACTACTGTAGCTGACACTATGCAAGTGAAAGATAGGTGGTTATCTTGTCGACGTATTGAATAACATAATATGTATTCTGGCAATGACTGTCGTGGTGAGTATTTCAGACACCGTTGGTTTCATTTCCCTTTGCGAAGTTCAACATTTCTCCTTTTTCCTGTTTGAGCTGGCCATGTAAGTTGGCCCATTGTTGTTTTTGAACTTCGCTGAAATTTGCATGCAAATTTTCTCCACAGCTTGTCGGGTGTTTAAAATGTCGCAAAAGAATAATAGAATTCTCTTAACTTGAGAGGTTTGAAACTATAAAATTTTGAAACGATGACTTAATTGATGCTAAGTGGCAGTGCCAATAATCTAGCCTATGAGTAAACTTGAAGCCAATCTTGTGTTGCTTTGGAATTGACTGCATAAGCCCCTAATCTCAGCAAGCTGCAGTCAATGATGAAATAGAATTGTGCATCTACAGTACAGCAGGCAGAGACAGCACCTAAAGTTTAGAAAGCTGCTGCCTGCAGAACCTGAAGAGGTGAAGATTGTTGGCTTTACTTTGACTGGCGACCTGCTCTGCGTAAAATACAAAGACATTACTACGAGGCTAAAGCAGTTGCAGTTTTCTTGTAGACATTTCAAAGTCCACTCATGGAAGGCTAGGCCATAACCGTTGCCAGAAACACCACCTTGGACTGGTAGTAACCCCATGCCTTTGTATGAATTCTTTTTCCGAGAGCGGATGCTGAGGACTCATGCCCTTCCCCCTACCAGCCGCGGAGGACCCAAAGGGAAGCGTCTCTAACGGACCACAAAGGTTAGTTTTTGTTGCAGTGTCCGAAGAGGAAGTAAAAGATGGGTTGGGTGTGGTGGAATTGGAAAGTTTTCCAAAGACTGAAAATCCCGTGCTAAAATACGATCCCTTCTGTTGTAACTAGAACGGTAGTGACGCACATTCTGACGTCTGTAGATATTCCATTTTCTGGAGCGTACCGGTATCCTACCTACCGTGTGACCTTGTATTTTTCCACAAGCATTGCTCTCCGTTAAAACATAGCTCCTAATTCTGCGGCTGGAGGGAGAGTGCAAGTTAACTTGAGCGAGATGCGGCTAAAGCGTAGAAATCAAGGTGTAAAGACTGCTACAGTAGTTTTCTCCCGCTTTCTGTTTTCTCAGAGTACATGGTGTTTCAAGAGATGTATTCCGGAACATCCTCGAGTCATGCAGGACCAGCCAAGAGAAAAGGTGAGAATGGCTAGGTTATTTGTCTTCTTTGCTTTTCAAGTACGTTGATGTGAGTGGAGAGTATTATTATGCGTGGGAAAAACTACAGTTTTCTGTGAGAAATTACGGCAACGCATGTTCTGAAATGTTTCCATATTTCGGTTTCTTTAACTTGGCGCTCCTACGGAGGGATCCGTTTCTTGAGAGCGCCCTACCTTCCTCATGACCTCGTATTTTTCCACAAGCGCTGTACTCCGCGGAAACCTAGTTCTATTGCACTAGAAGTCAGACTGCAAAGAGTTTCATTTTAGGGAAGTTCCTCAGTTGTCTTCTATTTTCTGTTTTCCCAGAATACCTCTTGTGTCAAGGGATTTCTTCTGGATGGAAGAGCATCGAGTCCTTTAAGAACAGCCTAGAGAAAAGGTGAGAACCTTGCAATATTCTTTGCCTTCTTTTCTCTTGCAGTATACTGATGGTAAATGTTAGAGGGCTATAATTTGGAAGACTGATGATCAGCCCCTAAGACTAGCAAGCTGCAGTCAATGATGAAATAGGCTATACCACAGTTTTCAGTCGGCAGAGACAGCACCTAAGCCTAGCAAGCTGCTGCCGACAAGTAGGCCCAGGAATAATCTTTCTGACATTGCGATGAGTGAAACTGATGGTAAATGTTAAAGGGCTATAAATAGGAAGACTGATGATCAGCCCCTAAGACTAGCAAGCTGCAGTCACTGATGAAATAGGCTGTGTGTAGAGTGGGCAGAAACAGCACCTAAGAGTAGCAAAGCTGCTGCCCACTATAAAACCGCAGTAGATGAAGATTGGTCTGTGATCAGAGGGGAGGGGTGGATGGGAACTACTGTAGCTGACACTATGCAAGTGAAAGATAGGTGGTTATCTTGTCGACGTATTGAATAACATAATATGTATTCTGGCAATGACTGTCGTGGTGAGTATTTCAGACACCGTTGGTTTCATTTCCCTTTGCGAAGTTCAACATTTCTCCTTTTTCCTGTTTGAGCTGGCCATGTAAGTTGGCCCATTGTTGTTTTTGAACTTCGCTGAAATTTGCATGCAAATTTTCTCCACAGCTTGTCGGGTGTTTAAAATGTCGCAAAAGAATAATAGAATTCTCTTAACTTGAGAGGTTTGAAACTATAAAATTTTGAAACGATGACTTAATTGATGCTAAGTGGCAGTGCCAATAATCTAGCCTATGAGTAAACTTGAAGCCAATCTTGTGTTGCTTTGGAATTGACTGCATAAGCCCCTAATCTCAGCAAGCTGCAGTCAATGATGAAATAGAATTGTGCATCTACAGTACAGCAGGCAGAGACAGCACCTAAAGTTTAGAAAGCTGCTGCCTGCAGAACCTGAAGAGGTGAAGATTGTTGGCTTTACTTTGACTGGCGACCTGCTCTGCGTAAAATACAAAGACATTACTACGAGGCTAAAGCAGTTGCAGTTTTCTTGTAGACATTTCAAAGTCCACTCATGGAAGGCTAGGCCATAACCGTTGCCAGAAACACCACCTTGGACTGGTAGTAACCCCATGCCTTTGTATGAATTCTTTTTCCGAGAGCGGATGCTGAGGACTCATGCCCTTCCCCCTACCAGCCGCGGAGGACCCAAAGGGAAGCGTCTCTAACGGACCACAAAGGTTAGTTTTTGTTGCAGTGTCCGAAGAGGAAGTAAAAGATGGGTTGGGTGTGGTGGAATTGGAAAGTTTTCCAAAGACTGAAAATCCCGTGCTAAAATACGATCCCTTCTGTTGTAACTAGAACGGTAGTGACGCACATTCTGACGTCTGTAGATATTCCATTTTCTGGAGCGTACCGGTATCCTACCTACCGTGTGACCTTGTATTTTTCCACAAGCATTGCTCTCCGTTAAAACATAGCTCCTAATTCTGCGGCTGGAGGGAGAGTGCAAGTTAACTTGAGCGAGATGCGGCTAAAGCGTAGAAATCAAGGTGTAAAGACTGCTACAGTAGTTTTCTCCCGCTTTCTGTTTACTCAGAGTACATGGTGTTTCAAGAGATGTATTCCGGAACATCCTCGAGTCATGCAGGACCAGCCAAGAGAAAAGGTGAGAATGGCTAGGTTATTTGTCTTCTTTGCTTTTCAAGTACGTTGATGTGAGTGGAGAGTATTATTATGCGTGGGAAAAACTACAGTTTTCTGTGAGAAATTACGGCAACGCATGTTCTGAAATGTTTCCATATTTCGGTTTCTTTAACTTGGCGCTCCTACGGAGGGATCCGTTTCTTGAGAGCGCCCTACCTTCCTCATGACCTCGTATTTTTCCACAAGCGCTGTACTCCGCGGAAACCTAGTTCTATTGCACTAGAAGTCAGACTGCAAAGAGTTTCATTTTAGGGAAGTTCCTCAGTTGTCTTCTATTTTCTGTTTTCCCAGAATACCTCTTGTGTCAAGGGATTTCTTCTGGATGGAAGAGCATCGAGTCCTTTAAGAACAGCCTAGAGAAAAGGTGAGAACCTTGCAATATTCTTTGCCTTCTTTTCTCTTGCAGTATACTGATGGTAAATGTTAGAGGGCTATAATTTGGAAGACTGATGATCAGCCCCTAAGACTAGCAAGCTGCAGTCAATGATGAAATAGGCTATACCACAGTTTTCAGTCGGCAGAGACAGCACCTAAGCCTAGCAAGCTGCTGCCGACAAGTAGGCCCAGGAATAATCTTTCTGACATTGCGATGAGTGAAACTGATGGTAAATGTTAAAGGGCTATAAATAGGAAGACTGATGATCAGCCCCTAAGACTAGCAAGCTGCAGTCACTGATGAAATAGGCTGTGTGTAGAGTGGGCAGAAACAGCACCTAAGAGTAGCAAAGCTGCTGCCCACTATAAAACCGCAGTAGATGAAGATTGGTCTGTGATCAGAGGGGAGGGGTGGATGGGAACTACTGTAGCTGACACTATGCAAGTGAAAGATAGGTGGTTATCTTGTCGACGTATTGAATAACATAATATGTATTCTGGCAATGACTGTCGTGGTGAGTATTTCAGACACCGTTGGTTTCATTTCCCTTTGCGAAGTTCAACATTTCTCCTTTTTCCTGTTTGAGCTGGCCATGTAAGTTGGCCCATTGTTGTTTTTGAACTTCGCTGAAATTTGCATGCAAATTTTCTCCACAGCTTGTCGGGTGTTTAAAATGTCGCAAAAGAATAATAGAATTCTCTTAACTTGAGAGGTTTGAAACTATAAAATTTTGAAACGATGACTTAATTGATGCTAAGTGGCAGTGCCAATAATCTAGCCTATGAGTAAACTTGAAGCCAATCTTGTGTTGCTTTGGAATTGACTGCATAAGCCCCTAATCTCAGCAAGCTGCAGTCAATGATGAAATAGAATTGTGCATCTACAGTACAGCAGGCAGAGACAGCACCTAAAGTTTAGAAAGCTGCTGCCTGCAGAACCTGAAGAGGTGAAGATTGTTGGCTTTACTTTGACTGGCGACCTGCTCTGCGTAAAATACAAAGACATTACTACGAGGCTAAAGCAGTTGCAGTTTTCTTGTAGACATTTCAAAGTCCACTCATGGAAGGCTAGGCCATAACCGTTGCCAGAAACACCACCTTGGACTGGTAGTAACCCCATGCCTTTGTATGAATTCTTTTTCCGAGAGCGGATGCTGAGGACTCATGCCCTTCCCCCTACCAGCCGCGGAGGACCCAAAGGGAAGCGTCTCTAACGGACCACAAAGGTTAGTTTTTGTTGCAGTGTCCGAAGAGGAAGTAAAAGATGGGTTGGGTGTGGTGGAATTGGAAAGTTTTCCAAAGACTGAAAATCCCGTGCTAAAATACGATCCCTTCTGTTGTAACTAGAACGGTAGTGACGCACATTCTGACGTCTGTAGATATTCCATTTTCTGGAGCGTACCGGTATCCTACCTACCGTGTGACCTTGTATTTTTCCACAAGCATTGCTCTCCGTTAAAACATAGCTCCTAATTCTGCGGCTGGAGGGAGAGTGCAAGTTAACTTGAGCGAGATGCGGCTAAAGCGTAGAAATCAAGGTGTAAAGACTGCTACAGTAGTTTTCTCCCGCTTTCTGTTTACTCAGAGTACATGGTGTTTCAAGAGATGTATTCCGGAACATCCTCGAGTCATGCAGGACCAGCCAAGAGAAAAGGTGAGAATGGCTAGGTTATTTGTCTTCTTTGCTTTTCAAGTACGTTGATGTGAGTGGAGAGTATTATTATGCGTGGGAAAAACTACAGTTTTCTGTGAGAAATTACGGCAACGCATGTTCTGAAATGTTTCCATATTTCGGTTTCTTTAACTTGGCGCTCCTACGGAGGGATCCGTTTCTTGAGAGCGCCCTACCTTCCTCATGACCTCGTATTTTTCCACAAGCGCTGTACTCCGCGGAAACCTAGTTCTATTGCACTAGAAGTCAGACTGCAAAGAGTTTCATTTTAGGGAAGTTCCTCAGTTGTCTTCTATTTTCTGTTTTCCCAGAATACCTCTTGTGTCAAGGGATTTCTTCTGGATGGAAGAGCATCGAGTCCTTTAAGAACAGCCTAGAGAAAAGGTGAGAACCTTGCAATATTCTTTGCCTTCTTTTCTCTTGCAGTATACTGATGGTAAATGTTAGAGGGCTATAATTTGGAAGACTGATGATCAGCCCCTAAGACTAGCAAGCTGCAGTCAATGATGAAATAGGCTATACCACAGTTTTCAGTCGGCAGAGACAGCACCTAAGCCTAGCAAGCTGCTGCCGACAAGTAGGCCCAGGAATAATCTTTCTGACATTGCGATGAGTGAAACTGATGGTAAATGTTAAAGGGCTATAAATAGGAAGACTGATGATCAGCCCCTAAGACTAGCAAGCTGCAGTCACTGATGAAATAGGCTGTGTGTAGAGTGGGCAGAAACAGCACCTAAGAGTAGCAAAGCTGCTGCCCACTATAAAACCGCAGTAGATGAAGATTGGTCTGTGATCAGAGGGGAGGGGTGGATGGGAACTACTGTAGCTGACACTATGCAAGTGAAAGATAGGTGGTTATCTTGTCGACGTATTGAATAACATAATATGTATTCTGGCAATGACTGTCGTGGTGAGTATTTCAGACACCGTTGGTTTCATTTCCCTTTGCGAAGTTCAACATTTCTCCTTTTTCCTGTTTGAGCTGGCCATGTAAGTTGGCCCATTGTTGTTTTTGAACTTCGCTGAAATTTGCATGCAAATTTTCTCCACAGCTTGTCGGGTGTTTAAAATGTCGCAAAAGAATAATAGAATTCTCTTAACTTGAGAGGTTTGAAACTATAAAATTTTGAAACGATGACTTAATTGATGCTAAGTGGCAGTGCCAATAATCTAGCCTATGAGTAAACTTGAAGCCAATCTTGTGTTGCTTTGGAATTGACTGCATAAGCCCCTAATCTCAGCAAGCTGCAGTCAATGATGAAATAGAATTGTGCATCTACAGTACAGCAGGCAGAGACAGCACCTAAAGTTTAGAAAGCTGCTGCCTGCAGAACCTGAAGAGGTGAAGATTGTTGGCTTTACTTTGACTGGCGACCTGCTCTGCGTAAAATACAAAGACATTACTACGAGGCTAAAGCAGTTGCAGTTTTCTTGTAGACATTTCAAAGTCCACTCATGGAAGGCTAGGCCATAACCGTTGCCAGAAACACCACCTTGGACTGGTAGTAACCCCATGCCTTTGTATGAATTCTTTTTCCGAGAGCGGATGCTGAGGACTCATGCCCTTCCCCCTACCAGCCGCGGAGGACCCAAAGGGAAGCGTCTCTAACGGACCACAAAGGTTAGTTTTTGTTGCAGTGTCCGAAGAGGAAGTAAAAGATGGGTTGGGTGTGGTGGAATTGGAAAGTTTTCCAAAGACTGAAAATCCCGTGCTAAAATACGATCCCTTCTGTTGTAACTAGAACGGTAGTGACGCACATTCTGACGTCTGTAGATATTCCATTTTCTGGAGCGTACCGGTATCCTACCTACCGTGTGACCTTGTATTTTTCCACAAGCATTGCTCTCCGTTAAAACATAGCTCCTAATTCTGCGGCTGGAGGGAGAGTGCAAGTTAACTTGAGCGAGATGCGGCTAAAGCGTAGAAATCAAGGTGTAAAGACTGCTACAGTAGTTTTCTCCCGCTTTCTGTTTACTCAGAGTACATGGTGTTTCAAGAGATGTATTCCGGAACATCCTCGAGTCATGCAGGACCAGCCAAGAGAAAAGGTGAGAATGGCTAGGTTATTTGTCTTCTTTGCTTTTCAAGTACGTTGATGTGAGTGGAGAGTATTATTATGCGTGGGAAAAACTACAGTTTTCTGTGAGAAATTACGGCAACGCATGTTCTGAAATGTTTCCATATTTCGGTTTCTTTAACTTGGCGCTCCTACGGAGGGATCCGTTTCTTGAGAGCGCCCTACCTTCCTCATGACCTCGTATTTTTCCACAAGCGCTGTACTCCGCGGAAACCTAGTTCTATTGCACTAGAAGTCAGACTGCAAAGAGTTTCATTTTAGGGAAGTTCCTCAGTTGTCTTCTATTTTCTGTTTTCCCAGAATACCTCTTGTGTCAAGGGATTTCTTCTGGATGGAAGAGCATCGAGTCCTTTAAGAACAGCCTAGAGAAAAGGTGAGAACCTTGCAATATTCTTTGCCTTCTTTTCTCTTGCAGTATACTGATGGTAAATGTTAGAGGGCTATAATTTGGAAGACTGATGATCAGCCCCTAAGACTAGCAAGCTGCAGTCAATGATGAAATAGGCTATACCACAGTTTTCAGTCGGCAGAGACAGCACCTAAGCCTAGCAAGCTGCTGCCGACAAGTAGGCCCAGGAATAATCTTTCTGACATTGCGATGAGTGAAACTGATGGTAAATGTTAAAGGGCTATAAATAGGAAGACTGATGATCAGCCCCTAAGACTAGCAAGCTGCAGTCACTGATGAAATAGGCTGTGTGTAGAGTGGGCAGAAACAGCACCTAAGAGTAGCAAAGCTGCTGCCCACTATAAAACCGCAGTAGATGAAGATTGGTCTGTGATCAGAGGGGAGGGGTGGATGGGAACTACTGTAGCTGACACTATGCAAGTGAAAGATAGGTGGTTATCTTGTCGACGTATTGAATAACATAATATGTATTCTGGCAATGACTGTCGTGGTGAGTATTTCAGACACCGTTGGTTTCATTTCCCTTTGCGAAGTTCAACATTTCTCCTTTTTCCTGTTTGAGCTGGCCATGTAAGTTGGCCCATTGTTGTTTTTGAACTTCGCTGAAATTTGCATGCAAATTTTCTCCACAGCTTGTCGGGTGTTTAAAATGTCGCAAAAGAATAATAGAATTCTCTTAACTTGAGAGGTTTGAAACTATAAAATTTTGAAACGATGACTTAATTGATGCTAAGTGGCAGTGCCAATAATCTAGCCTATGAGTAAACTTGAAGCCAATCTTGTGTTGCTTTGGAATTGACTGCATAAGCCCCTAATCTCAGCAAGCTGCAGTCAATGATGAAATAGAATTGTGCATCTACAGTACAGCAGGCAGAGACAGCACCTAAAGTTTAGAAAGCTGCTGCCTGCAGAACCTGAAGAGGTGAAGATTGTTGGCTTTACTTTGACTGGCGACCTGCTCTGCGTAAAATACAAAGACATTACTACGAGGCTAAAGCAGTTGCAGTTTTCTTGTAGACATTTCAAAGTCCACTCATGGAAGGCTAGGCCATAACCGTTGCCAGAAACACCACCTTGGACTGGTAGTAACCCCATGCCTTTGTATGAATTCTTTTTCCGAGAGCGGATGCTGAGGACTCATGCCCTTCCCCCTACCAGCCGCGGAGGACCCAAAGGGAAGCGTCTCTAACGGACCACAAAGGTTAGTTTTTGTTGCAGTGTCCGAAGAGGAAGTAAAAGATGGGTTGGGTGTGGTGGAATTGGAAAGTTTTCCAAAGACTGAAAATCCCGTGCTAAAATACGATCCCTTCTGTTGTAACTAGAACGGTAGTGACGCACATTCTGACGTCTGTAGATATTCCATTTTCTGGAGCGTACCGGTATCCTACCTACCGTGTGACCTTGTATTTTTCCACAAGCATTGCTCTCCGTTAAAACATAGCTCCTAATTCTGCGGCTGGAGGGAGAGTGCAAGTTAACTTGAGCGAGATGCGGCTAAAGCGTAGAAATCAAGGTGTAAAGACTGCTACAGTAGTTTTCTCCCGCTTTCTGTTTTCTCAGAGTACATGGTGTTTCAAGAGATGTATTCCGGAACATCCTCGAGTCATGCAGGACCAGCCAAGAGAAAAGGTGAGAATGGCTAGGTTATTTGTCTTCTTTGCTTTTCAAGTACGTTGATGTGAGTGGAGAGTATTATTATGCGTGGGAAAAACTACAGTTTTCTGTGAGAAATTACGGCAACGCATGTTCTGAAATGTTTCCATATTTCGGTTTCTTTAACTTGGCGCTCCTACGGAGGGATCCGTTTCTTGAGAGCGCCCTACCTTCCTCATGACCTCGTATTTTTCCACAAGCGCTGTACTCCGCGGAAACCTAGTTCTATTGCACTAGAAGTCAGACTGCAAAGAGTTTCATTTTAGGGAAGTTCCTCAGTTGTCTTCTATTTTCTGTTTTCCCAGAATACCTCTTGTGTCAAGGGATTTCTTCTGGATGGAAGAGCATCGAGTCCTTTAAGAACAGCCTAGAGAAAAGGTGAGAACCTTGCAATATTCTTTGCCTTCTTTTCTCTTGCAGTATACTGATGGTAAATGTTAGAGGGCTATAATTTGGAAGACTGATGATCAGCCCCTAAGACTAGCAAGCTGCAGTCAATGATGAAATAGGCTATACCACAGTTTTCAGTCGGCAGAGACAGCACCTAAGCCTAGCAAGCTGCTGCCGACAAGTAGGCCCAGGAATAATCTTTCTGACATTGCGATGAGTGAAACTGATGGTAAATGTTAAAGGGCTATAAATAGGAAGACTGATGATCAGCCCCTAAGACTAGCAAGCTGCAGTCACTGATGAAATAGGCTGTGTGTAGAGTGGGCAGAAACAGCACCTAAGAGTAGCAAAGCTGCTGCCCACTATAAAACCGCAGTAGATGAAGATTGGTCTGTGATCAGAGGGGAGGGGTGGATGGGAACTACTGTAGCTGACACTATGCAAGTGAAAGATAGGTGGTTATCTTGTCGACGTATTGAATAACATAATATGTATTCTGGCAATGACTGTCGTGGTGAGTATTTCAGACACCGTTGGTTTCATTTCCCTTTGCGAAGTTCAACATTTCTCCTTTTTCCTGTTTGAGCTGGCCATGTAAGTTGGCCCATTGTTGTTTTTGAACTTCGCTGAAATTTGCATGCAAATTTTCTCCACAGCTTGTCGGGTGTTTAAAATGTCGCAAAAGAATAATAGAATTCTCTTAACTTGAGAGGTTTGAAACTATAAAATTTTGAAACGATGACTTAATTGATGCTAAGTGGCAGTGCCAATAATCTAGCCTATGAGTAAACTTGAAGCCAATCTTGTGTTGCTTTGGAATTGACTGCATAAGCCCCTAATCTCAGCAAGCTGCAGTCAATGATGAAATAGAATTGTGCATCTACAGTACAGCAGGCAGAGACAGCACCTAAAGTTTAGAAAGCTGCTGCCTGCAGAACCTGAAGAGGTGAAGATTGTTGGCTTTACTTTGACTGGCGACCTGCTCTGCGTAAAATACAAAGACATTACTACGAGGCTAAAGCAGTTGCAGTTTTCTTGTAGACATTTCAAAGTCCACTCATGGAAGGCTAGGCCATAACCGTTGCCAGAAACACCACCTTGGACTGGTAGTAACCCCATGCCTTTGTATGAATTCTTTTTCCGAGAGCGGATGCTGAGGACTCATGCCCTTCCCCCTACCAGCCGCGGAGGACCCAAAGGGAAGCGTCTCTAACGGACCACAAAGGTTAGTTTTTGTTGCAGTGTCCGAAGAGGAAGTAAAAGATGGGTTGGGTGTGGTGGAATTGGAAAGTTTTCCAAAGACTGAAAATCCCGTGCTAAAATACGATCCCTTCTGTTGTAACTAGAACGGTAGTGACGCACATTCTGACGTCTGTAGATATTCCATTTTCTGGAGCGTACCGGTATCCTACCTACCGTGTGACCTTGTATTTTTCCACAAGCATTGCTCTCCGTTAAAACATAGCTCCTAATTCTGCGGCTGGAGGGAGAGTGCAAGTTAACTTGAGCGAGATGCGGCTAAAGCGTAGAAATCAAGGTGTAAAGACTGCTACAGTAGTTTTCTCCCGCTTTCTGTTTTCTCAGAGTACATGGTGTTTCAAGAGATGTATTCCGGAACATCCTCGAGTCATGCAGGACCAGCCAAGAGAAAAGGTGAGAATGGCTAGGTTATTTGTCTTCTTTGCTTTTCAAGTACGTTGATGTGAGTGGAGAGTATTATTATGCGTGGGAAAAACTACAGTTTTCTGTGAGAAATTACGGCAACGCATGTTCTGAAATGTTTCCATATTTCGGTTTCTTTAACTTGGCGCTCCTACGGAGGGATCCGTTTCTTGAGAGCGCCCTACCTTCCTCATGACCTCGTATTTTTCCACAAGCGCTGTACTCCGCGGAAACCTAGTTCTATTGCGAAACGGAAATTGCCCGAGTAGCGGGGAAAGACTAGAAGTCAGACTGCAAAGAGTTTCATTTTAGGGAAGTTCCTCAGTTGTCTTCTATTTTCTGTTTTCCCAGAATACCTCTTGTGTCAAGGGATTTCTTCTGGATGGAAGAGCATCGAGTCCTTTAAGAACAGCCTAGAGAAAAGGTGAGAACCTTGCAATATTCTTTGCCTTCTTTTCTCTTGCAGTATACTGATGGTAAATGTTAGAGGGCTATAATTTGGAAGACTGATGATCAGCCCCTAAGACTAGCAAGCTGCAGTCAATGATGAAATAGGCTATACCACAGTTTTCAGTCGGCAGAGACAGCACCTAAGCCTAGCAAGCTGCTGCCGACAAGTAGGCCCAGGAATAATCTTTCTGACATTGCGATGAGTGAAACTGATGGTAAATGTTAAAGGGCTATAAATAGGAAGACTGATGATCAGCCCCTAAGACTAGCAAGCTGCAGTCACTGATGAAATAGGCTGTGTGTAGAGTGGGCAGAAACAGCACCTAAGAGTAGCAAAGCTGCTGCCCACTATAAAACCGCAGTAGATGAAGATTGGTCTGTGATCAGAGGGGAGGGGTGGATGGGAACTACTGTAGCTGACACTATGCAAGTGAAAGATAGGTGGTTATCTTGTCGACGTATTGAATAACATAATATGTATTCTGGCAATGACTGTCGTGGTGAGTATTTCAGACACCGTTGGTTTCATTTCCCTTTGCGAAGTTCAACATTTCTCCTTTTTCCTGTTTGAGCTGGCCATGTAAGTTGGCCCATTGTTGTTTTTGAACTTCGCTGAAATTTGCATGCAAATTTTCTCCACAGCTTGTCGGGTGTTTAAAATGTCGCAAAAGAATAATAGAATTCTCTTAACTTGAGAGGTTTGAAACTATAAAATTTTGAAACGATGACTTAATTGATGCTAAGTGGCAGTGCCAATAATCTAGCCTATGAGTAAACTTGAAGCCAATCTTGTGTTGCTTTGGAATTGACTGCATAAGCCCCTAATCTCAGCAAGCTGCAGTCAATGATGAAATAGAATTGTGCATCTACAGTACAGCAGGCAGAGACAGCACCTAAAGTTTAGAAAGCTGCTGCCTGCAGAACCTGAAGAGGTGAAGATTGTTGGCTTTACTTTGACTGGCGACCTGCTCTGCGTAAAATACAAAGACATTACTACGAGGCTAAAGCAGTTGCAGTTTTCTTGTAGACATTTCAAAGTCCACTCATGGAAGGCTAGGCCATAACCGTTGCCAGAAACACCACCTTGGACTGGTAGTAACCCCATGCCTTTGTATGAATTCTTTTTCCGAGAGCGGATGCTGAGGACTCATGCCCTTCCCCCTACCAGCCGCGGAGGACCCAAAGGGAAGCGTCTCTAACGGACCACAAAGGTTAGTTTTTGTTGCAGTGTCCGAAGAGGAAGTAAAAGATGGGTTGGGTGTGGTGGAATTGGAAAGTTTTCCAAAGACTGAAAATCCCGTGCTAAAATACGATCCCTTCTGTTGTAACTAGAACGGTAGTGACGCACATTCTGACGTCTGTAGATATTCCATTTTCTGGAGCGTACCGGTATCCTACCTACCGTGTGACCTTGTATTTTTCCACAAGCATTGCTCTCCGTTAAAACATAGCTCCTAATTCTGCGGCTGGAGGGAGAGTGCAAGTTAACTTGAGCGAGATGCGGCTAAAGCGTAGAAATCAAGGTGTAAAGACTGCTACAGTAGTTTTCTCCCGCTTTCTGTTTTCTCAGAGTACATGGTGTTTCAAGAGATGTATTCCGGAACATCCTCGAGTCATGCAGGACCAGCCAAGAGAAAAGGTGAGAATGGCTAGGTTATTTGTCTTCTTTGCTTTTCAAGTACGTTGATGTGAGTGGAGAGTATTATTATGCGTGGGAAAAACTACAGTTTTCTGTGAGAAATTACGGCAACGCATGTTCTGAAATGTTTCCATATTTCGGTTTCTTTAACTTGGCGCTCCTACGGAGGGATCCGTTTCTTGAGAGCGCCCTACCTTCCTCATGACCTCGTATTTTTCCACAAGCGCTGTACTCCGCGGAAACCTAGTTCTATTGCGAAACGGAAATTGCCCGAGTAGCGGGGAAAGACTAGAAGTCAGACTGCAAAGAGTTTCATTTTAGGGAAGTTCCTCAGTTGTCTTCTATTTTCTGTTTTCCCAGAATACCTCTTGTGTCAAGGGATTTCTTCTGGATGGAAGAGCATCGAGTCCTTTAAGAACAGCCTAGAGAAAAGGTGAGAACCTTGCAATATTCTTTGCCTTCTTTTCTCTTGCAGTATACTGATGGTAAATGTTAGAGGGCTATAATTTGGAAGACTGATGATCAGCCCCTAAGACTAGCAAGCTGCAGTCAATGATGAAATAGGCTATACCACAGTTTTCAGTCGGCAGAGACAGCACCTAAGCCTAGCAAGCTGCTGCCGACAAGTAGGCCCAGGAATAATCTTTCTGACATTGCGATGAGTGAAACTGATGGTAAATGTTAAAGGGCTATAAATAGGAAGACTGATGATCAGCCCCTAAGACTAGCAAGCTGCAGTCACTGATGAAATAGGCTGTGTGTAGAGTGGGCAGAAACAGCACCTAAGAGTAGCAAAGCTGCTGCCCACTATAAAACCGCAGTAGATGAAGATTGGTCTGTGATCAGAGGGGAGGGGTGGATGGGAACTACTGTAGCTGACACTATGCAAGTGAAAGATAGGTGGTTATCTTGTCGACGTATTGAATAACATAATATGTATTCTGGCAATGACTGTCGTGGTGAGTATTTCAGACACCGTTGGTTTCATTTCCCTTTGCGAAGTTCAACATTTCTCCTTTTTCCTGTTTGAGCTGGCCATGTAAGTTGGCCCATTGTTGTTTTTGAACTTCGCTGAAATTTGCATGCAAATTTTCTCCACAGCTTGTCGGGTGTTTAAAATGTCGCAAAAGAATAATAGAATTCTCTTAACTTGAGAGGTTTGAAACTATAAAATTTTGAAACGATGACTTAATTGATGCTAAGTGGCAGTGCCAATAATCTAGCCTATGAGTAAACTTGAAGCCAATCTTGTGTTGCTTTGGAATTGACTGCATAAGCCCCTAATCTCAGCAAGCTGCAGTCAATGATGAAATAGAATTGTGCATCTACAGTACAGCAGGCAGAGACAGCACCTAAAGTTTAGAAAGCTGCTGCCTGCAGAACCTGAAGAGGTGAAGATTGTTGGCTTTACTTTGACTGGCGACCTGCTCTGCGTAAAATACAAAGACATTACTACGAGGCTAAAGCAGTTGCAGTTTTCTTGTAGACATTTCAAAGTCCACTCATGGAAGGCTAGGCCATAACCGTTGCCAGAAACACCACCTTGGACTGGTAGTAACCCCATGCCTTTGTATGAATTCTTTTTCCGAGAGCGGATGCTGAGGACTCATGCCCTTCCCCCTACCAGCCGCGGAGGACCCAAAGGGAAGCGTCTCTAACGGACCACAAAGGTTAGTTTTTGTTGCAGTGTCCGAAGAGGAAGG